ATCTGGTTTGATTCCTGTACACTTTTCTGATATAGTAATGTGCCAGATCACAAAGATCCTGTAATTTGGGCTGGAGGCTAGTTAAGGTATAAGGGATGTGTTGTCAGGTGTACAAACTTAACACTGGGGATGTATTATCTATCCAGATATGGTCCTACACGCCAACATAATGGGCTTACAAATGTTTCACAGCCCTAACCGGTCTGGCTGAATGGATAGAGCATTGGCCCTCGAACTGAAAGGTCCCGGTTTGATTCTGGTCACGGCATGTACCTGGGTTGCAGGTTCCATCTCCAGTAGGTGGCGTGCAGGAAGCAGCTGATCCACGATTCTCTCTTAATCTCATCATTGATGTTTCTGTGTCTCTCTCCCTTTCCCTTCCTCTCTGAGTTCAATAAAATATATTTTTTAAAAAAGATAGCAAGTGTCTCAGGATGTTAACTGAGAATCCTGTGTGTAGAGAACAATTTTGGACTCTGTCAGAAGGAACCTGTAATTTTTAAAGTAAATACATCAGCGGTTCTCAACCTATGGGTTGCAACCCTTTGGGGGTTGAAATACCCTTTCACAGGTGCCGCCTAAGACCATTGGAAAACACATATAATTAATATTGTTTTTGTGATTAATCACTATGCTTTAATTATGTTCAATTTGTAATAATGAAAATACATCCTGCATATCTGATGTTTACGTTATGATTCATAACAGTAGCAAAATTACAGTTATGAAGTAGCAACGAAAATAATTTTATGGTTGGGGGTCACCACAACATGAGGAACTGTATTAAAGGGTCGCGGCATTAGGAAGGTTGAGAACCACTGCTTTACATTGACAAATGACATTAATATTACTTCTGTTCTCCCTCCAAAACTACAAGTACCAAGGGTAGGAGGTGGAGGAAGAGATCATATAATAAATTTAATAATTTAATAATCAGAACGTGAAGTGGAAAGAAGACCCATATTCAAATCTGGCTCTTGCCAGTTGCTAAATACTGCTCTGAGAGCTTTCATATCTACTTAAAATAAGGTAAGTTGAAAAAGAGGATTGAGTGAAATCTCTGCTGTGGAAACTATAAAATATTACTTAGGCATAAATTAATATAACTATTTTTTACCACAAAAGTGTCAGTGATTCTGTTTCTTTATTTTCCAGCCTTCTTACAGTGATATTGCAGCTAACCCAAAGGTATTAAAATGGATGACAGAGCTTACCAAACTGCGGAAGCAAATTAAAGGTATAAAATGTGCCACTTTTGTAATATATTTTCTTTTTTTTTTCATATATTTTATTGATTTTTTACAGAGAGGAAGGGAGAGAGATAGAGAGTTAGAAACATTGATGAGAGAGAAACTCGATCAGCTGCCTCCTGCACATCTCCCACTGGGGATGTGCCCGCAGCCCAGGTACATGCCCTTGACCGAACCTGGGACCTTTCAGTCTGCAAGCCGACGCTCTATCCACTGAGCCAAACCAGTTTCGGCATATTTTCATTTTTAAAATATTCTTTATAATGTGTATGGGAATTATAGTTATAATTTTGATAATTTTAAATCTTGGACACTGTTCACCAAAGTAGAAGTTTTCTTATTAGTATGGTCGGTTGTCGCACTATAACAGTTCTTCCAAATGTCTTCCTGTGTTTTGATTAGTAGTGTTCTTTGGAAAAGTGCCCTTGATTGTATATTCATAGGTGATATTATAAAGTTTATCTGAAATATATCTCAAATATTAAGCAGTTTTGGTGTTTGGTATTTCATCTTAGACTAAGAATATCTAATCATAATAAACTGTTTTTACTACAAAAACTAAATAATAAGCCTTCTTGAATCCAAAACTAGGTGTTGTGTTACTGTTAATCCAGAACAGCAGTTGCTAAGATATAATTACTTTGTATGTTTAGTGAGCATGTTTTAAAAATTTTTTTTTCATTTATTCATTTTAGAGAGGGGAGAAGAAGTGGGAAGAGAGAGAGACAGAGACATTGATTTGTTGTTCCACTTGTTTATGCATTGATTGGTTGTTTCTTGTATGTGCCCTGATCTGGGATCGGACCCACAACCTTGACTTGTTGGGATGATGCTTTAACCAACTGAGCTACCTGGCCAGGGTAGTGAGCATGTTTTAAAATAATTGTTAATATTAAAAAATTTATCTGTACCCAGTAGGGGTTTATAATTTGGACTATCATGTTTTAGTGTATTCATTTGAATTCAACCAAATTTTTAGTATCTTTTGGTATAAAGTAGTTGTACTTGTAGACATGAGGTTATAGCAGTGAACAAGATAGTGTTCCTATTGTCATTGAGTTTACATTTTTGTCGTTCTAATATCTCTTTTTTAGAATTGTTTTCTACAACTCTGTTAAGCATTTCCTTGTTTAACGCCAATTTTCAACCATATTGACATTAAACAAGGAAAATTGGTTTCCAAGTAATTTTTAAATTTTTTTCCACTCTTGTTGTCCTATAGTTTATTCTCTTCATAGCAGCCAGAATTATCTTTTCAAGAACTGTTACTAATCTTGTCTAAAGCCCTTCATTAGGCTTCCTTTCCCACTTAGAATAAAGTCCAGATTTTTTGCCATGGATTTCAAAGCCTTGCATACTCTGCCCTTAGCTCATTTTGTCACTTTCTTTTCTCATTTTCTGTTCCTTACACATGGCACATTTTAGGGCCTATTCACTGTTGGCTATTGCCTCAATTGGGGAGGAATGTCCTTCCCCTAAATCTTATAAGTATCTTCTTATTCCATGTTCAACGAGGATGTCACTATCTCTGAAAGGCTTTAATTGTCAATCCCATCCAATGTAGCTGCTCTTCCAAAATCACTGCTCTGTTCCTTTCAGCACTGTGAAACCATCCTATCTTGTCTTCTTTATAGCACTTAGCACTCTGAAATTACTTGGTTTATGAATTTGATTACTAGGTTTTTGTTTTTACTTCCCGAATTATATACTACATGAAAATAGGGACATGTCTGTTTTTCCAGTGCTTATCAGAGCATCTTACATTATAGTAAGAGCATCTTACAACGTCTATGAATATTGGTTGCTATATATAATTTAAACATTTCATGTAATCTTGAAATATCTGAGCCTGAGTGCTATTAATGTATATTTTCCTCTTTTATATCTTGTTTGCTGCTTACTCTTTTGACTTAGTTGCATTTTAGTTAAAGTCACTGATTTATCTTCTTGGTTCTGAAATGTAGACGCAAAACACAGAAGCTCTGATGGAGAATTGTTACCTCAGACACGTCCACGTAGTAACACTCTTCCAAAAAGCTTTGGCTCTTCTCTAGACCATGAGGATGAAGAGAATGAAGATGAATCCAGGATCATTCATAAGGAGAAGAAGCCATCTAAGGAAGCAACACTGGAACTTATTCTGAAAAGACTGAAGGAAAAACGTGTTGAGAGGTGTCTTCCAGAAGATATCAAAGTAATTTTGAGCTATGGTTTTGCCCAGACTAGCCTAGAGTCCCTAAAATAAAGTAATTACCACAGTGGCATAGAAATGTCTAGGTGGTGTGACTGGCCAAAGTCTGCTCCCCAAGCTTGCAGATACAGACACGTGTGTTTTATCAGCACACCAAGAGTGCCCAGTCATGTAGGGATCTGTGCGTTTACATGTGAGGCAGTTGGTAAGATGAATAAAGAGCATGCAACAATGTTTGAGTTCTGGCATTGTATCTTAACAGTTATATGTATTGACTTTTTATGCTTGACCCTGACTGATTATAGCTCTATGACTTACATGGATATGATGATGCCCATTAAAATACTAACACAGTATGGTTATTATAAGGATCAAGCGAATGACTTTTTTGAAACAAACCATTACTCACTAAGCCAATGCCTCAGGCAGTCTTGGTCAAAGCACTTGGCAACCCAAATCATTTATCATGAGAATTGCTGGGAGAGTACAGATGTAGATAGATGGTCCCAAGTGAAATTTTGTCCATGCTCTCTCAACAAAAGAGTTTACCTCTCTCATTATCTAAGTATTGGAGTTGCTCTCCTTTGAACAGAGCTGGGTTAGAAATTCTAATTGCTCCTTTTCTCCACCTTTTGTTTTTTGATCTTGTGTTAGACCAACCTCCTCCCTTTAAGTTATTTTGATTGGATTAGTTTTTCACATTCATTATCCTAGGTTTAAGAATCAGGCTTGAGGTTGAAATTACATTGTTCATATTATAGAGTCTATACCAGTGGTTCTCAACCTTCTGGCCCTTTAACTACAGTTCCTCATATTGTGACCCAACTGTAAAATTATTTTCGTTGCTATTTCATAACTGTAATGTTGCTACTATTATGAATTGTAATGTAAATATGTGATATGCGGGATGGTCTTAGGTGACCCCTGTGAAAGGGTCGTTCGGCCACCAAAGGGGTTGCAACCCACAGGTTGAGAACCGCTGGTCTATACCCAGCTGGCCTCTACTAAATGTATATAACCTAAAGTGACATTTGTTAGAGGAAGATATCCAGTGATTTTTTTTTTTTAATCTCTAATTTCACTCTGGTGAGAAACAGTATAGGTCAGCGGTTCTCAACCTGTGGGTCGCGACCCCTTTGGGGGGCGAATGACCCTTTCACAGGGGGCGCCTAAGACCATCGGAAAACATATAATTACATATTGTTTTTGTGATTAATCACTATGCTTTAATTATGTTCAATTTGTAACAATGAAAATACATCCTGCATATCAGATATGTACATTATGATTCATAACAGTAGCAAAATTACAGTTAAGAAGTAGCAACGAAAATAATTTTATGGTTGGTGGTCACCACAACATGAAGAACTGTATTAAAGGGTCGCAGCATTAGGAAGGTTGAGAACCCCTGGGATAAATAGTATTATCTATTCCTGGGATTAAGTAGAGAGCTTATTTGGTGTAGTGTTAAAGGGAAGTCTGTGGAACAGTGGTTTGCTGATATGTTATAAGGACCTTTGAAACAAAGCTGGGAGGTTCTGTAGGCAAATAAATTTGGGGTGTGTTCCCTACTCTAGTATAATTTAGAGTACTAAAAGTTATGACAAGAGGATTATAGTGAAAAGAAAGTTCCAGATGAAGAGATACTGAGGTTATAAGGTCTAAGGTCACAAATTGACATGGTTTTTATTCACATTCTTTCCACTATACTGCTTCCAGATTTTGTTTTTAGGAGAAATATTAGATTATAAGACCTGTATATAGTTAAATATCAATAAAACTGTGTAAATACAAATAAATTAATAGGCATTTATGTGTGCTTATTGTATGCCTTTACAACATATACTAACTCATTAGAGCCTTATGAGGCAGGTGAAGTTTCCCCTTTTCTAGATTAAGATATTGAACAAAAAGAGGTTAAATAATTTACGTAAGGTCACTAAGCTGATATTCATAACTTATTCAGATAAAATATGAATTAAACGACCAAAGAAGACTGGTACCTAAATATCAGAAGACCATATTCTGCAGGTGACTAAGAAATGTTGCCTGTAAATTCACGAGCAAAGATGTATTCTTATTAGCCTGGGTTAGAGTGGTGATGGGCTGCCCTTTCACCCTAATTATTTACATTGGGAATGAGGACAGTAATGATGGTGTCAATGGGAGTGTTTTGTTTTTTTTCCTAGAAAATGACAAAAGATCATTTGGTAGAAGAGAAAACTTCTCTCCAGAAAAGTCTTCTTTACTATGAAAGTCAACATGGAAGGCCGGTAATGTCTCTCTTGCTTAAAAAAATAAAGTTGATGTCTGTCTTAAAAAAGAGGATCACATTTGTGGCCTACATCTTCAGAGCTATATTATAGAGCATTGTTTCTTTCATTTGGGAAATTGACTACTTACTTAAAATAACTTCTAAAAATTGGGGAGAAAGTCAGATTGCTCAATATTTTGGACATTTTAGATTTCTTATGACCAGATAATTTCCATTGTTTTTGCTTCAGGTGACCAGGGAAGAGAGGCACATTGTTAAACCTCTCTATGATAGATACAGACTTGTAAAACAGATGTTGACAAGAGCTAGCATCACTCCTATCCTTGTAAGTAAAACATGCAAAAATTTATCTAGTTAATTTTGCCAAGACCTACTCTTAAAAAAATTACGGTAGTATGTGGGAGAGAGACTTGGTAGCATGAATTGTATATTGTAAGGTGGTTACTGCTTTAAAAAAGAATAGGAAATTAATAAGAAGTGCCTGCTATTATCTCTACTAGTAGTCATTTTTGTAAAGCATTTTTCTGTATGATTATGTCATTACATCCTGGTAAGTTTCAACAGGTAACAGAAGATAGCCTCATAGCCTCATTTCACAGATGATGAAACTGAGGCTCAGATACAATATTCCAGGGTCACCTACTTTGTGGAATTAAAATAACCTATATTTCAAACTCTTACCTAGCTTTTTTCCATTTAAATTCGTGTCTTTGAAATTACATTAGTTTTGTGGTGTCCATCGTGATTATGTTTTTTTATTTGCACAATATCAACTGATTTTTTTCAAGTTTATCTTTTTAAACGGAAAAGTTTGTTAAAATAATGCTTATTCATATTCGTGTACAATTTTAGAGAATTGTAACTCTAATACTAATGTATAAATTAAGTGCTATTCCCAAATTAACCATTAAATTGTATGGCTTTAGATTTCTCTCAGGCTCAAGTAGAAAACAGCATATAGCCCATTTTGCATCCTCTCATAGGAATTAATTTACTAGAACTTATGGTTTGCTTAGGCTTGCAGGCCAATTTTTATGGTGGTAGCCACTTTCATGGGGGGTTTCCTTCAGGCTCTCACCACCTGATTACTCATTAGAAAGTTCACATTGGCCTTCTGAGCACTTTTTACTTAGCCTTCATAAAAACTAATTCTTTTTTAATTTAAAATTTTTTTTATACTTAGAGGGAAGGGGAAGAGAGACATTAATTTGTTGTTCCATTTATTTATACATTCTTTGATTACTTCTTGTTTGCGTCCTGACCATAGATTGAACCCTTAACTTTGGCATATTGGGATGACTAACCACTGAGCACACTGGCCAGGTGGCCCTGATTCTATTCTGAATTGACTGTTTTTTTTTCAAGTTGGTCATCTCAGCACTTTTATTTAGATATAGTCGGCTTTCTTTGAACAAGGGGAAAAAAGCCTGTACAGTTTATATTCTTTGTATATAAAAGTTAATCATTACTGATTTTTTTTTTTCATATTGTATGATTCCATTTATATGAAATATCTAGAATAGGCCAGCCCATAGGTAGAGAAAGATTAGTGTTTGCCAAGGGTTGGGGGTAGAGGGCACCTGAATAATAGCTGATGAGTATACGATTTTGGGGGGTGAGGGTTGTGATGAAATGTTTTAGTGGTGATGGTTGTATAATTTGTGAATTCAGTATATTAAAACTCACTAAAAAAAGTGAATTTTATGGTATGTGACATATCAATGAAGCTGTTACTTTTTTACAAAAAAATATTGATTTGAGAGAAAAAGGGAGAGGGAGAGATTGAAACATCAATGATGAGAGAGAATCATTGATTGGCTGTCCCCTGCACACACCCCACTGAAGATTAAGCCTGAAACCTGGAACCATGACCTCCTGGTTTATGCTGGCTCCGCTGAAGCTGTTACTTTTTAATGTTTGTTGTTGTTGTTAATCCTCACCTGAAGATAATATTTTTTCCATTGATTTAGAGAGAGTCTAAGTGGGGGGGAAGAGGAGAGAGAAACATTGATATAAGACACACACCCATTGGTTGCCTTCTGCATGCTCTGGGGATCGAGCCTGCGACCAAGGTGCATGCCCTTGACTGGAATCAAACCTGAGCCCCTTCAGTCCGCAGGCCAATGCTCTAGGCACTGAGACATACGGACTAGGACTAAAGCTGTTACTTTTTAAAAGAGGTATGAAGTGTTCCTTAGACCAAAATGGTTGACAACTATTCTTAAAAAGAAAATTCTTTTCCAATTAAATTGTCATTCTTTTATTTAGAATTTTTAAAATATTTACTGAATGAGCCCTTTTAGAATTATTTATTTGTTTGTTTTAATCCTCACCTGAGAATATTTTTCCATTGATTTTTAGAGAGAGTGGGAGAGAGAGGGAAAGACAGAGAGAAATATCGATGAGAAAGAAATACATAGATTGGTTGCCTCCCACAGGCGCCCTAACCAGGGCGCTGACTGGGGAGGAGACTGCAACCAAGGTATGTGCCCTTGACTGGAGCTAACCGGCTAAGGCTAGAATTATTTGCACATAAAATATAATTTATCGCTTTTATGTACACACAACTAGAAAATACATATAAGCAAGAATGTTTTTTTTTTTTACTAAGGAATTCCTAAATAATTAATAGCATAAATGATTAGGATTTTGAAAATAAAGTTTAATATTATTGAAGTGAAGCCTCATTGAATAAATAATTAAAATTTAATCATTTGTATGTTAATTATTGCAGGGATCTCCATCCACCAAGCGAAGGGGTCAGATGTTACAGCCAATCATAGAAGGAGAAACTGCACATTTTTTTGAAGAAATCAAGGTAATCCTTAAAAGAATTAATCTCTGATCTCTTTTCTAAAAGAAAAGTTGAAAGTTATGCCTGTTTGATTCTTTGTTTTTGAATATCTTTTTAGGAAGAAGAAGAAGAAGGTGTTAGTCTGTCCTCTGAGTTAACTGATATATTGCAAACTGCTGTACAGGCACAGTCTTCATTAGAAAACTCAGAATCTGATGTGGAGGAAAATCAAGAAAAACTGGCTCTGGATCTCCGATTGTCAAGTACTCGAGCAGCATCTATGTATGTTGGCTAGTTTGTGATTTTAGCCTATTTGTATAATAAAACTTAATATGACAAGAAATGTAATGTTAAATAATTGAGCACTTGGCAGGAATTAATACAGTACTTAAGAGATACATCCTTTTTAAAAAAATGTGATTTACAAATACATGTCCAGTTCACAATTTTTAAATTAAATATTAGCGTGTTGAAAAATTTAAAAACTAAAATTCTATATTTGCTTTTTAACAAATTGCCAGAAACAGCTGAGAGTTATTTGTTAAGTTCTCTGTCAGCTTCTTACCTGATATGGTGTCTGACTTTGGTTCTTAGTCCTGGCTTCACTTTAGGATCACCTGGGAGGATTTTTTTTTTTAAATCTTTCAAGCTTTTATTTAAAGGGCACTGATTCAGGATGGATTTTAGATCTTGTTGAAAGCAACCATGTTCATGGACTGCACACAGTCCTCAAAAGCAGTGATCTGCTCCTCTAGCATGTCTGTTCCAATTTTATCATCTTCCACTACACCACTGATGGCGAACCTATGACACGCGTGTCAGAGGTGACACGCGAACTCATTTTTTTGGTTGATTTTTCTTTGTTAAATGGCATTTAAATATATAAAATAAATATCAAAAATATAAGTTTTTGTTTTACTATGGTTGCAAATATCAAAACATTTCTATATGTGACACGGCACCAGTGTTAAGTTAGGGTTTTTCAAAATGCTGACACGCCGAGCTCCAAAGGTTCTCCATCACTACACTACACACTGTATTTGAAGTTTTTAAATTCCATACCCCACTGGAACCAGTTTAGAAGAGCCCCAGATCAAGCCGTCTGCTTAGATGCTCCTGACACACTCCTCTAATTTTGCCATATCTGTCTCATCATCCCAAGGTTTCACATCTAATAAGATGGAAGACTTGGCAACAAGTGCAGGTTTTTTGGCTTTCTTTGACTCATACTGTGCAAGGTGTTCTTCTCTTAGCTTCTTTGCTGCTTTGCTTTCCTCCTCATCAAGTCCAAAGAGATCAATGTCATTGTCATTGTCTTTACTATCAGTAGCCCCACTTCCTGTGGTGTCTTCCACATTAGCAGGGCCATCCTTGTCCAAAGCTTTCTTCACTCCAGGCAGACTGGTCTTCTCCTTTTCGTAAGACTTGATGTGATTGTACCATTGGGGGGCATGGTACAGGTTGGCAGGTGGTGGCCCGGAGACTGCTTCATATATTGCCACGCCTGCTTGTGATGGTACACACCCCTTGATTTAGCTCTTGTCCTCCTGGTAGAGGACCTCCTGGTTGTTGAGGACGTGGAGGCCGGAGGGCTTTTCAGGTCTCCAGAGCCCATGGAGTTGGCTGACCCGGGAGCTAGGCGGCAGCAGGGGAAAGTGGAGCGCGGGCTATTGCTAGCGAGCGCTAAAAGGGAAGAAAGGGCAGGATTTTTTTTTTAAGTATTGCTGCAGAGCCCTACTGGCAACTATTTTGATTTAGTTGGTCTGGGGTGGAGCAAGGGTTCAAACCACTGTTGAGAACATAATGAATCAACAGTGCCCTTTCAGTAATGTTTTCTTACTATTTCAATTTTAGGCCTGAATTACTGGAACAACTTTGGAAAGCCAGAGCTGAAAAAAAGAAACTACGTAAAACATTACGGGAATTTGAAGAAGCATTTTATCAACAAAATGGAAGGTTTGTTGAGCATCACAAAATTGAGCGTTTTTTTTTTTTTTTTAATTGATTTTTTACAGAGAGGAAGGGATAGGGATAGAGAGTTAGAAACATCGATGAGAGAGAAACATTGATCAGCTGCCTCCTGCACATCTCCCACTGGGGATGTGCCCGCAACCCAGGTACATGCCCTTGACCGGAATCGAACCTGGGACCTTTCAGTCCGCAAGCCGACGCTCTATCCACTGAGCCAAACCGGTTTCGGCCAAAATTGAGCGTTTTTAAACTCACAAGTGCTCACATGTTAAATAAAGAGGATCAGAAATAAATTGTGCATATAAGGATATTAGCATTGACAATAAAAGTAAGAAACATGTTTTTATACATTGAAGCCCTGAAAACATTTTTTATACATTAATGGCAAGAAAATGTCAGAGGTGCCCTAGCTGGTTTGGCTCAGAGGATAGAGCGTCAGCCTGTGGCGAGTCCTGGGTTTGATTGCAGTCAAGGGCACAGGACCGGATTGTGGGCTTGATTCCCAGTGGGGGTCATGCAGGAGGCAGCCGATCAATGATTCTCTCTCTCCCTTACTCTCTGAAATCAATAAAAATATATTAAAGCCAGAGCTGAAGTAAACAACATCTGATAAAATACTCTAATGTTGTCCTAGATAGGCTTGGTCGAGTGTCAATTTTTTGTTCTTTTATACCACACCCTCACCCTTTTGGAAGTGTTTGTGAAACAAGATGTATTAGCAAAGGTCTCATAACATGAGTGGCATCTTCAATTGGTTTGGATTCTTATACTGAGACCATTGTTGCTTAGGTTTCATTGTTCATTCCAGGCTGCCCATTTCCAAGGTTATCACAGGGTGACAATCATGTGGCTCCTATAATACAATATGATGGTTGGCTTTATGTAACTGCATAATGTGCAGTTGACTCAGTGAGACTCTTTTTTGAGTAAGAAAAATACGTTCTAATTCAAATGGTAGCCAGAAATGCGGGCTATCTCAGGTCTCAGAAAAGTCTTACCATGTAATGGCGATCTTACCAGCCAATGGGTATATTACAAATTCTAAAATGTGTTTACTTTAAATAATTTGAGAGTTATCTATATAGGTTAGCAAAAATAGTTTTAAAAAAATCTCAAGTACAAGAATGAATTTTCCAAGTTCTTTGTCTTATTGGAAGAAACTTTGCTTATAATTATTATACCCAGTGCTTTACCTAGTGATTAAAGTGGATTGTATTGGGTCATTAATAACTAGAGGCCAGACACACAAATTCATGCACCGGTGGTGTCCCTCGGCCTGGCCTGTGAGATTGGGCCGAAACCGCTCTCTAACCCCAGTTACAGCCCTCTGTCTCTAACATCCCCCAAGAGGTCCCGGAATGCGAGAGGGCGCAGGCCAGGCCAAGTGACCCCAAGGGTTCACAATTAGAGCCGGGGAGGGACGCCGGAGGTTGGCCAGCCAGGGAGGGGTCATGGGAGGACTCCAGGGCGTGTCCGGCCCATCTCACTCGACAAGCTAACCTACTGGTCACAGCATCTGCTCCCTAGTGGTCAGTGCATGTCATAGCGAGTGGTTGAGTGGCCTTAGCATATCATACTTTGATTGGTTGAACAGGTGACCAGACACTTAGCATATTAGGCTTTTATTATATAGGATATAAAGTTAGGAGACTACTTATTTGCTACTATAAGTAAGATGTTTTGCTTTTACATTTCAATTCACTGAATCCAGAGTTAATGTCTGAAATGACTCATTATAGCCCTCTGGCACTTAATATGTACACTCACAGACCTGACAGAGTCTAGCAGTGTATGTCTTATTAAAATTTTACCTATAAAAAATAAAGTAAAAGATTACCTCTAGTTATTTACAATTATCATTGCTAAGTATAGTATCATTTAATGTATCAATAGAAAAAATCCATCAGAAATAGAAGTATTTCAGGAATGTTCTTTGGAGATGGGGGGACGGGGGGAATTAATCCAATAATATTTTTTCCTTACAGAGCAATTTTTTATTTGAATTTATATTTGGTAACATTGTCTCACATTAGGATAACTCTGGGACTTTATTTTCCAGATGATCTCTAGAATATTACACATTTTATTTTCTCCCCTAGGAATGCCCAGAAAGAGGATCGTGTTCCAGTACTTGAGGAGTACAGGGAGTACAAGAAAATTAAAGCCAAGCTTAGGCTTCTTGAAGTTCTTATCAGCAAGCAAGATTCTTCAAAATCCATATAAAAATGCTTGAAACATCATAAACTCAGTTGTATTCCCTAAAATTATCATCGTGTGTAGCTGGCTGGTACTTTTTGTCAGGCACTCAGAATCTCATTTTGTAATTGGTTGTGGTGCCACTAGAGAAATGATGGGGGGAGGGTAAGTAGACCCTCTCTAGGGAGCACAATGTTCCATATTAACCACAGACTGTTCTCTCCACCTTTCACAAACATCCCGTTTTCTTCATTGTTTTGTACTACAGATACATCCTATTAGAAAAGACTAGTATTTTATCCTCAACCTCAAGGACTTTGGAAGTACAAGCTTTTTGTTACTACCAACTTCATTGTTTTTTTTCATTACGGAAGAAAATTAAGAGGAAAATCTTCACATTGAATTCTTTGGTTGCCTTTTTCTTACACAATGACTGAAAATTTGAAAGAAAAGCATATAAATGTGCACATATGCTCCATGTTCTATGTTTTCTTCGAAAACTAAAATCAACTGAAATTTCAAGTCTTACTGTGGAACACATTTCTGTTTAATTCCCAAAGTAACACTTTTTCACAGGTAGTATGTTAACAATTCAGTGGTCACACAGCTCCTGGATCAAGATAAGAGAGGTTAGACCAAAAAGTGACCTTGCTTATTCGTATAGTGAAAACACACAGAACTGAATCATACCACATGCTGCTTATGGGACTTAAATTACTATTTGTTTTCTCAGCTACTGTTCATCAACTGGTGATGATGTGATTTGTCTGGATCAGATCCTCCATATTTTCTCCCCACTGACCTTCATCCAGATAATATGAGTAAAGAACCATGTCAGTATGTAGGAACTCGGATGGTACTCAGATTTGTGATTTCAATTAAATGGGCCGAAATTGGCAAAAGAATCATTATGCCTGAAGTAAATCTGTTCTTAACAAGGGCTATACCACTGCATTTTTACACGTACCTTTAGGAGGTTGCATCCTTTTTTTCTCTTAATCAGCAAAATCTATAAAGAAAACATCTTTTAAAGAGACCACTTTTTGCTCAGTCACATGTGTTTAAAGCGCTGGTCACAAGATGTGTAGTGGTGTGCCCCTTGTTATATACTCTAAGTATATCTTGTTTTCTTTGGCTTTGCATGGCTTTTTCTTTGAGTACTCACGAGGTATGATTCTGCTAATCATTTTCACAGAACGGTGACGTTATTTGTGTTAACAATGTAACTCATTAATAGCATATTCCGGTCAGGCTCAATCTAAGTGTTCATTTTTTTCTGGTGCTTTTTTGGAATGATGAGTGTCTTACTTTGATTGTGCCCATGTTTTGCATGTAATGATTCATGCTTGGTTTTCTTAACTAGGTAATATTAACAATTTGTTCCATACAAAAATGGACTTTTGCAACATCCTTTAATAAGATGAGGGAAGCATGAACCTCCGTCTTCTGGCACTATTGCATAGTAAGCCCATGAAGTAGCTTGATAATAAGTAGTATTTCTAGTGCTTCATATTTCACCTGTGTGTGCAATGTCTTTTTTGCAGGGAGGGAATATTCATTGGTAGTGAACATGTAGTTAAGGAGTACAGCACTAAATCCTGCCCTTTGCATGTCCTTTCTTTTGATGCAGCTAGGTCATTCATAATGTATACCTAGACAAATGAAATTGAGAATGCCAAAAGATTACTTTGATTTAAATCCATCATGCAGTGTGCATTTAGTTAATTTCTATCACTCTCCAGGCAGGAGTATATCCAAACATTTAATGTGCACTGTATATTGTTTTATATGAATGTTTTATTTTATATACCACATGCAAAAATGTCCATATGCACTATTTAAATGTTTTAAATAATATATTCCTTCTTTGTAATGCTAAATCTATATGAGTACCATATTTTTATAAGTCAGTGGCCTGACTGGTTTCATTTTAAAATTAACAGCTGCTTCATGATACTGGTTATTCACTGTTATTGTTTGGCTGTGAATAGAATAGATAAAAGTGGCATGGCAGCACTTATGCTGTGTGACAATATTGTGTGTCATAGTTGAGCTGTAGGTGGTAGAATAAGGCAGTTTGTGATAGTTTTACTTTGGTATAAGTTAAAACTGAATATCTATATATAAACAATATATAGATATATACATGACTACCCATATAATTGCATTGATGTCTGGCACTTCATTGTATAGACTTTTGTAATAAAAGAACTTTGATGTTCTAAGTCATTGCAAATGTTGTTTGCTTCCCCCCACCTCCACCCCCACTAGATGTTGAAAAGTGAAAAAGAGAGACCTCAGGTGTTCCCTTGTCTTAATGTTCTGAGGCTTTGAATTACCCTAACCCGGTGTCATATGGGGGGACAACAGGGTTAGTAAACTATCTGGCTGGCTACAGCTCTGGGAAGTGTTAAAACAGGGAAAGGCCATGTTGTTGATTCCCTTGTGGGAATGTCGGGAGAAGATGCAGAGAGAATAGTAAGCATTTCTTGTTGCAGTGAATTATCTATTTAGAAAATGTGGTGAGCTTGGCCCGAGGAATGTGGGTAGATTTAAAATGTCCTTTATTCAGATTTAAAATCCAGGGACTGTTGAGCAGCAATGTGGAAGTTGAGTACTATGGTCAAATGCTGTTGCTTGGGCTAAGAGAACAAAAGGTTTTTCTAGGAAGGTTTATGTAACTTAAAAAAAAAAAAAATTAGAATCTGAGTTTCCTAAATGCCAGCCACACATAACTTTCCAACCATCCAAACAGGGCTTTGGGAGTACCTTCATTTACACTTTTCAAACATGACTTTTTATAACCCTGATACTCCTACTTTGCTCTTTATTTTTTAAAGTGTTTTTTGCTTTCTAAAGTAGTTGAGGAAGCACTTTTGGGAAACTTTAGATGTCGCTATAGAAACCGTTTAAATGAGTTTCTAGTTTGAAGGTATTAGTGAAATTTCTGTAAGTGGTTAGAAAGTTTATTCTTTAACACTTCAGCTTTTTATAGGAGACTTCAAATTGGAAGAATGGAGATGAGAGATTATTTTACTTGAGCCATTGTGTGATGGCTTTGCGGAGTCCTGTGCGTTTATTATCTGGTTCATGGTACATGATGAGAGCACCAGTGGTTTTTACAGTTCGTGGAACATTGAAAAATCATCATAAAAAAAAAAAAGAAAAATCATCTTTACCTACTTACTGAGCTATTAAGTAGAGACCTCCACCATGAACTGTAAGCAGCATTATTTTGTACTTTTCCCTTCACATTCATAGAATCCTATCTAATAAAAGACAAAAAGGGTAATTAACCATACCTCTGCTATGCTTCCCATTGGCTAATCAGGGCGATATGCAAATTAACTGCCAACAAAGATGGCGGCTGGCAGCCACGCAGCTGAAGTGAGCAGGAGGCTTGCTTGCTCCAGTGATGGAGGAAGCCAAGGTTCCCGGCCTGCTGCGGCCCAGCTCTGAGCTCCAAAAGCAACAATGTTTCAATTATAGAAGGTAAACAAAACCTGATACCTGCT